AGGATTGAGTGTGGGTAGGATTGATTTATATGGGATTAATCTGCATGGTGATATACCTAGTGAATACCCCAGAGTTTGAGTCAAACACAATCAACTTGCCCCTGGCCTTGAACTAGGTTTTAGTACTAAGAGTGTCCAAAAAGCTGGGGGGCTGTGTTTAGCCTTAGCCAAGGGAGTTGGGTTAGAACTAGCCTCGCCACCCTAATCTGCAAATTAGTAGTCCTTTTAGACTCATTGCCTGAGTGCTGTAGGGGCAACACAGCAATCTGGTGAAATTAGACTACTCCTCTAGCAGATCTCTCTCTCTCTCTCTTTCCCCTTTTATTTCTCTGCCAGTGTTTTCTCCCCTCAACCCTCCCACCACTATAACCCTAGGTTAATGAAGCTCAAGGCTTGAATTTGGTGAAGCATGAAGGGGTATCCAGAAAGTTGGAAAGACAGGATTTCTATTTCAGAAATTTTGTGCACAAGGTTATATTTGCCTTGGAGAATTTGAAAGGGAAAACTCAACTGAGCTACAGAGAATGCTGTAACAAAAAATCACAGAGAGGGAGCTAAGAATGGTGGGGAAGATTAATGAAGTTTCACATCTGGAACAGATCTCCTCTCATTATCTGTAATATATTATCATTTTGATCCTCAATTCTCCTTCCCAACAAGCAAGGACTTACTGCCACTTACAGGTAAAATGTAAAAAAAAAAAAATTTTTTTATGATGAATCTTGTTGCAATACTCAAACTTCTCTGAGTTACTGTAATAAGATGCAAGTATGAAAGATCTGTGAATAAATGAATAAAGAATTCATTAAGTGTAAAGCTCTGCACTAAGTACTGGGCTACAAATAGAAAAGACAATCCCTGCTCTCCAAGAGCTCATATTCTAATGGGAAAAAGTTTCATCTGCAAATGAGATGAAAAGGTCCCATGGTCCTTAGGCTATAGCAGCAAAGCTGCTGATAATATCTTTTTAAATATCAATTTTATTGATACAATAAAATCAGTTTCTGATGTTGAATTGTTTGACAATGTCAAGGACTTTGGTGGCAAGAACTTTATTTTCTAAGTAGCTATGGCTACAAAAGCAATTGCGAGGGTGCATGTGGAGATTCTTATGATAATGTCTGAGGGCATTGGGCTGGATGTAGTCCTATTTTCAAAGTATTGGGTTCGGGTTCCTGGACCATATTCAGAAGGATCTGAGGAGAGATGGTGATCAAAGTGATGATTGCAGTAGCTTGACTTTCCTGGCACATGATGTCTCTTGTCTCTCTTGAATAGTTCCTTGCTTCTTCAGCTGGACTGGTTTGCCTGTTTGGTGGGTGGTAACTGGTTGGCAGTTGATAGGAATGGATGTCCCCTTCTTCATAGGAGTTGCTTCCCTGAATGGTGGATGTGAAGGGGCTGGGCTAGAAGTAGGAATGGTACTTGGAGAGAGCTGCTACTTTCAGGCCTCCCATGTTTATTTTCCTCTTAATGAGCAGTTGATCAACAGTTGGTGGTGGTAATGATGACAAAGGTAGGTCCATGTTCATGAACCTTGAAGTTCCTTTATCTGATTATAATCTGTTGTCATTCCTTCTCTCCTCCTTATCTCACATTACAAATGCCTTCTGCCATGATCAGCTCCTCCACCCCTGTTTTACATGACTTCTTGCTGAAGCATCCAGAAGTTTGTTCCTTCTATCATCCCTACTCTCTCATGTATCTTCAATAGGTCCCCACCTACTGACTGCTTCCCTACTGACTTCAAACATGCCCATGTCTCTTCATCCTCTAAAACCCCTCACTCATTCTTCTGGTGGGGATCCACTAGCTATCATACTTTTTTTTTTTTTGGTAAACTCCTTAAAGAAGTTTGAGGAAGAGAAGTCTATAGGTGCTTCTACTTCCTTTCCTCTATCATCTTAACTCTTAGCAGTTTGCTCTCTCCCAAGTTACTAATCTCTCAATTGTAAATATGGCCTTTTTTCAGTTTTAATCCTTTTTGACCTCTCTGTAGCCCTTGACACTGTCAATTATACTCTTCTTCTTGAGACTCTCTTCTATTTAGGTTTTTGTTACATTGTTCTCTCCTGGTTCTCCTACCTGTATGAATGCTACTTCTTCATCTCCTTTGCTGCATCTTCATGCAAGTCACACCCACTATGGGGGCAAGAGGGTCCCCAAAGTTCTGTCCTGAGATCTCTTCTCTTTTCCTTCTATTGTATTTCACTTGATCTCCATGGTTTCCATCCAAATACAGATGACTTTCAGATTTAATTGTCTAACCCTAACCTTAACCTAACTTAACCTAACTCTAACCTAACCTCCAGTTTTGAACCTTCAGCTGCTTATTATGCATCATGAATTGGATGTCTTATAGACATCTTAAACTCCCAAACCGTCCCAAACTGAACTAATAATTTCCCCCAACTATTCACTTTTCCTAACTTTCTTATTGCTGTCAAGGGTACCACCATCCTCTCTCTCACCCAGGCTCACAATTTGTCATCCTTAATTTATCACTTTTACAGCACCCCACCACCTGCCTCATATCCAATTTGTTGTCAAGTCTTATCTTTGTGCCCTCTTCTCTCTTCTGGCACTGCAGTTGCTTTGATACAGGTCCTTATCATCTCATCCCTGGACTATTGAAATAGCTTCCTGGTTGGTTTCCTCGCTTTAGGCCTATCCCCACACCAATCCATCCTCCATTCAGCTGTTAAATTGATCTTCCTAACATGCAAGTCAGACCATATCTCTTCCCAATTTAACAGTCTATAGGACATCCCTGTTACCTCTGGAATAAAATAAAACCTTCTGTTTGGCTTTCATATTCTGGGCCCTTCCCAGCTTTCCAGTCTTCTTACATCTCCAGTGTGATCCAGTGACACTGACTTCCCTGCTATTCCTTGAACAAGGCACTTCTCTCAACTCCACATTCTTTGCTTGACTGTTGCTCACACTTGAAATGTTCTGCCTCTTCATTTCTACCTTTTAGCTTCCCTAACTTCCTTCAATTCTCATCTAAAGTCCCACCTTCCTTAAACTTAGTGCTTTTCCTCTGGGATTAACCCCAATTTATCCCGTGTCTATCATTTATACATGCAAAACCAGTGCTTAGACAGTGTTTGGCACATAGTAAGCATTTAATAAATGACAGTTGACTAAATAATTTTATATACATTACTAAATTTTCATGGTCTTATTCTCTATGCCCTTAGCAATTTAGTTTCTTGATGCTTCAATTTCCCTATTTCTAAATGAATTCACATTAGGTTTGTAAAGTATTATTATCTGTGAGGTAGGTAGTACAAGTATTAGAATACCTATTTTACAAATGAGAGAATTAATGATCCTCAAAGTTGATGTGTCCATAATTACATATTTCACTTAGTGATTTCATCTCTTGTCATTTCCACCTGAATGCAGATGACTCTCAGATCTACTTGTATAGCCCTAACCTGTCTCTTGACCTTTGGTCTTGAATCTTCAGCTGCTTCTTAGACATCTCAAACTGTCTCATAGCTAAATTACACTCCAAAACTGTTTACTTACTTATTAAGTGTTGGAGTTGAGTGTTTGGTACAATTTTGTTTATATCACACTAGCATGTAGGACCTATTTCATTGGGAGATTGCAGAGACAAACTGTTATGTGCTTTGAGATCTTTGGATTAGAGAGACTTTAAAAATTAGGTGATATTATTGCTAATATGACAGATAGTATGGGATAATTGTACACTTGGTGGTGCTATAGACCTAACAACAATCATACCTGGCTAATTTCTCTGATTTTTTCAACCTACGGTAGAACAGACTGTTACTTTGTTAATTAATCAACTAGCTAGATTGTTGTATATATTTTGGCTACCAGTCAAGTGATGTTTTTGAGGTGGTATTCAGTGCACATGTTCTGATTTTCCAAAGGCTACTGTTTCTATACTGCAACTTGCAAACTCTTATATTACTCCCCTTTCCAACTGCCTGAAACTTAATCAACTTATGGAACTTGGATGCTGACCCTAATTTAGGACTGACTAGATATGGGGGGGGGAGAAAATAGAAAATGTTAAAATTATGGAAATCTAGTTTGGGTATTTCTGTGACTCTGAACCTACCTCTCATTTACTAGATTCCTTTCGATTTTACCTGTCCTGTGTATTTTACATTATTTCATAGGAAAGGCACACCATATACAATTTAGTTGTTCAAAGAAAACAATTAATACCTTTATGAACTATGTGGAGTACTCAGTCTGATTCCCTTCTACCAATTCTTTTAACTATTTCCTGAAATGGAAAAAACCTCCTCTCATTGTCTACTTTCTGTTAGTGGTTAAAGGAAAAGGAGAAGGAATTATATGCCTGGGTTTATGGGTTTATGTGGGTTTATCAAGTGGAGCAAGGAACTACTGGAGAGGAAAGTTTGTCCTTCTATCACCAGCTGACATAGATCTCAAAAATTGCTAATTCAGCTTTCTCAGATTGCCACTCTGCTTCAGACCTGGCTTACCCTGCAAAGGTTGGCTTCCTATAGTCCCAGTAGGCAGCTTGTACCTCTGGTTTTATGTCTCAACTCTCTTACTATCAGGTCAGAGAAGGTACATGTCTGTGCTTGGTTATACCTGAAGTTGTCAGTCTGAGCCAATTGCATTCTGCTGCCAACATGGTTAACAGTGTGTGCATCTACGACTTTTTCTTTTTTGTGCTCCCAGACAAACTACAGGAAGTCTTTTCAAGGACAAATAAAATGAAGAATCAGGAATTGGAGGTGAGGGTAGGGGAGAGCTTCATTGAGTTTCTTTCCCCGTTGGCACTTCTGAGAGAGCATTTGAAATGTTTGTTATTGTGGTTCTCCTTGCAGTACATGTTATACCATGTGCCAAATTAAGATCTATTCACACTGATATCTTGCAAAGAAGCATTTATTTATAAGATACAATTAATAAGAGAACGCAATACCTTACTTTGAAATACTATTGCATTTTTTAGTATAGAGAATAACATTTTTATCCTCACTTTTTGTCTAGGTTTTTATACTTGGAGATATCTTATTCACAGTTACAAACAAAGAGGGAATTCCTCCTTTAAATTAAAATACTGTAGAGCTTGAACAAAGATTCTTGCATGAGCAAGAGATGGTATGTCTGTATGTGTAAGGCAATGTTTTCTTTTTCGGACAACTAAGGGCGACTTCTCTATTCTCATACATATCTTCTTGGCAGCACATACATGAGTTTTCCACTTGAAATGTTTCATAGTTATACCTAAAAGAAAAGACAACATGAACAGTCATTTTAGAACTCTTGTGTCAAGGATCCATGAATGACCTTTACTCTATTCCCAGTGATATCAAGTGAGTATAAGCCTCCTTGTCACATATCTGGACTACCACCATGGCCTCTTAGTAGTTCTATTCTTCTCTATTCTATGGCCCTTCAATTTGTCCTTCACACTAATGTCAGATTTGTTTTCTTTTTAATTAATCTGGTCTTACTGCTCTTCATGAAATAACTCATCTTTTTCTGGTTTATATTTTTCTCTTTCTTCTGCAAGGCATCTAGTTGTGCAGTAGATGGAGCACTGGATATGGAATCAGGAAGTCTAAAGTTCAAATTTGGCCTCAGACACTTACTAGCTTTGTGACCCTAGGCAAATTACTTGACTTCCATTTGTTTCCGTTTTCTCAATTATTACTTAAAAAGGGAATAATAATGCCACTTACTACCAGAGTTGTTTTGAGGATCAAATGAGGTAATATTTGTAAAAGAGCTTAGCACAATGCCTAGCACTGTATAAATTTTTATTCCCTTCCCTATAAATTTCTGATCAAATTAGTGCTAGTAGATGGATAACATAAATTAAAGAAGAAAAATTGATTCTGTTGTATAATTCATACTGTAAGCTCAATAGTAAATCAGACATTAAATTGTCTAAATATGGTATATAGACATGTATTGCTGCTCACAATAGCCATGTTTGTTCTAATGTTAAAAAGTATACAAAGAAACAATGTAAGATATATATGTACGTATGTATGTGTAATACATATATAATATAAAATCCAAACATGTCAACTTGTGGGCTTGTTAAATGATGACCTTGCCTGAGTCCTTCAACTAAATGAAAGTGAATCTTTTGTTCTGTATTCTCCAAACTATGAAAGGCACACTTAGAAGGTTACTTAATGAGCATACATAATAAGCTACAAAGATTTCTTTTTATTGATATGAATTTAGAATTCTATATATTCATTTTTAAAAACCTTGACTCAAAGTCTTTTTAATATTGTTCCCATGTAATATCTTCTCCATATAAAAGTTGTGCAGGATACACAGGTATGGGTTAGTTGCAATCACTGCATTACTGGATGCAAGATCCAAATTGATGAGACTACAGATCCATTTGAGTATTTGAAAAAAGTTCATAAAGTTCAGTTACCTCCAAACTGTTAAAAAGGTGCTACCCCAAACATTTGGAAAGAAAACCTAACTTACACAAACATTTTTTTGCATTCCCCACTACATTTTGCCATCTCAACCTTCTTTGTACAGCCTTTGTATTCAACAGTTACATTCACAGGAACTGGTTTGCAGTCTTCCTTACCTAAAACAAAAGGAATGTCATTGACAAAACTAATGGTTTAAATTGTCAAATGCTAAAAAACAAAACAAAACAAACAAAAAAAATAGCAAGATACTATCAAGCTAAAAATTCATCAAGAAGCTTCCTGTACTTGTTGGTCAAGATACAACAGCACATTCATATTTCTGAAATGTTCTTTTAAACAAATGCATTATAAACATGTCACTTATCAAACTCATCAAAAGAAAAAAAACATTTCTAAAATACACCATTATGTGGAAAAATTTTCAACCGGAGGGGACCTCAGAAGTTCTTTCATTTTATAGATGAAGAAAACCACCTCAAATTCAGTGTTAATGCCCCACTTTCTGATGAAGCATGTTTTCCCCAGTAATTGTGATGCATTGTGCTGAATTATCCATACACTCTCCTTCTTACCTGATCCTCTTAGTGATTGCATATATAAATTTGTGATAAAAAATGCCTAGAATGTAGGACTTGTGCAGGGAGTGAAATTGCAAATTTGTTTTCATGAATATGATGTTCCAAACCAAGCTTGTTCTAAACAGCAGATGATACGTAGCTTCTTCAGTGGGAATACTGTAGTAGACAGAGTGTTGGTCCTGGAGTCAAGAAGACCTGAGTTCAAATATGGCCTCAGACACTTACTGTGTGACCTTAGGCAAGTCATTTAACCTCTATTTGCCTCGGTTTTCTCATCCATAAAATGGGGTTGATAGCACATTCCTCCCAGGAATTGTTGTGAGAATCAAATGAGATAATGATTTCCAAGTATTTAGCACAATCCTTGACACATAGCAAATGCTACATAAATGTTAGCTATGATGATGATGATGATGATAATCCACTGGAAGTTAGCCTAACTGCCCTTGTTTACTCCTTCAAATGTCTCATTATCATCATCCATTGAGGGAATAGATACAACTTCTCTCAGGTAGAGGTTATTCTAAGCCTGGTGAAGGCTGATTTCTTGCTACCTTTACCCTTGTTCATTCTAATGCATCTTCAACCTCAATCTCTTTTTTCCCCCCTCTTCTTCCCTCCACCCTGCCACTGACTCCTTCCTATATGCCTACAAAAATGCTCAGTTTTTCCTAATCCATAAAAAGCATTCTCTTAGCCCTTTTACTCCACATAGCTATAGCTTCTATCCTTCCTCATACCTTTTGAATTGACTACATTCAATACCTTTTTGTCTTAGCATGTTCTGTCTCCTCAATCCCTTAATATCAGGTTTCTTTGTCCACTGCACTAATGAAACCACTCTTCAAAAGTCACCAATTATTATCTAATTTCTATATTATTTTTAGTCATTAGCTTCATCGAGTCCAGTGCTGCTCTGTGACACTGGACACTGTTTATCACCTCCATTTGCTAATGAGTCTCTCCCTCTGGCTTCAGCAACACTATAGTCACCTAAATTACTTTTACCTCTTTAATTCCTTCTCTCTTTCTTTTACTGGCTCCTCATCTTCTTTTAAATTCTCTAAGATGAATGTTCAATTGAAGTTCTGTCTTAAACTTTCTTTTTTTTTTTCACTCCCTGAGCAAGCTCTACAGTTCCATAGCTTCAACTAATACTTCTATACCAATAACTTCCAACTCTCTTTCTCTGACCTCTGTCTCAAACATGTGATGTACATTCACATATCCAACTGCCTGCCAGACATCTCTACCTCTCCCTCTCCATCTCAAATTTAACATATTCAAAAGTGAGCTTACTAATTTACCCAAACCTGTTCCTTCTTTGATTCTACTATTTTTATCAGAGGTACCAGGATAATACCAGTAAAACTTATTAGGAAAAGAGAGAAAGAGCAATTCTTTTTAAAATTACCACAGCATGTATAAAAAACTTAGGAGTCCACCTTCCAAGATACACATGAAAACTACATAAATGTAACTATAACCCATTGTTTATAGAAATGCAGACCTACATGATAAGGAAAACATTATTTCCTGATGGATAAGATGAATCAATATAATAAAAATGGCAATGCCACATACATTAATTTGTTTATTCAATGTCATACCAATCCAGCTACCAAAGGAATTATTTTATACACACACAGGAAAATAACAACAGAATTCACTGGAAGTGAAAAAAGGTCAAGAATCTCAAGAGAAACAATGAAAAGGTATGGGAAGGAAAAGGGCCTAGAAGTGACAGATTATATTTATATATAATTACATTACAAAGCAATAATAATTAAAACAATTTGGCACTGGTTAAATAATAGAGAGATTGTTCAGTGCAATAGATTAGATATAAAATATACAAATGGGATTCTATCTAATATGTTGGTGTTTGATTAACACAAGGATCCCAGCTGAGGCAGATAATGACTTACTATTTGACAAGAGCTGCTGGGAAATTGGACAATAATATGAAATAAATTAAATTTAAGCCAACACTCCACACTTTATACAAACATAAGCTCCTATACAGATATATATGTATATATATGTATGTATGTATATATATGTAAAGGTCATATATATGTAATATATATATGTATCACATCATAAAGTAATTAGAAAAAAAAACCTCTTATCAATGGATAGAAGAAAAAAGTTCATGACAAAAAAGAAAAAGAAAGGATAGCAAAAGTTAAAATGGTTACAAAGTTTTGATTACATAAAACTTTAAAAGTTTTTTGCACAAAGAAATATTACAAAGTTAAAATTAAGAGGGAAACAATCAATTATTAAAAAAAATCATTATTGCTACCATGTTTCTCTGATAAAGGTCTTGTTTCCAAGATATATAAGGAACTGATACAAATTTATAAGAAAAAAGAGCCATTCTCCAAATGACTAAGGTTAGACCTATTTGTAACAGACCATTCTCAAGGGAAGAAACCAAGATTATACCATATGAAAAAGTGCTCCAAAATGCTACTAACTAGATAAATACAGATGAAAGCAATTCTGACAGTCTATCTCCACCCATCAGAATGGGAAAGATTACCAAAAAATGCAAAATGGTAAATGATGGAAGGGTTGTGGGAAAGAGAAATATTGACATACTGCTGGTATTGGCATACTGTGAGTAGGTACAACAACTCTGGAAAGTAATTTGTAATTATATCTAAAAATTTACTAAACAGTATATGCCCTATGATCTAGACATACCACTGCTAAACTTGTACTCAAAAGATATCAAAGAAATAGGAAAAAAATCTTTTTTTATAGCAACTCTTTTTGTGATGGCAAAAAACTGGAAACTAAAACCAATGGAGGAAGTACTCAATAAGCTCTGGTTTATAAATGTGATTGTGTGATAACAAATAAGAAAATAAATGTTTTTAAAAAAACATAGAAAGATTTATATGATCTGATATAGATTGAATTATGAAGAACCAGAAGAACAATTTATATACTGTAGAATCACTATTATGTAAATAAATAATTCTGAGGACTTTTATAAACTTCTAAAGAATGAAACATATAAAACCAAAACAATTTATATAACAACAATGAAATGACTTTGAAAGTTGTTAGAATTATGACTAAAACCATAGCCATTTGTGAATCTAGAGGACTTATGATGAAGCATGATTTCTCCAAAGAGATGCCCATCAATTGGGGAATGGCTAAACAATTTGTGGTTTATGATTGTAATGGAATAATATTGTGCTATAAGAAATGACAAGCAGGGTGATTTCAGAAAAACCTGGAAAGACATGGACATAGTAAGTATAGTGAATATAGTGAATAGAACCAGAAGAATGTTGTACACAGTAACAGCAATATTGTTCAATGAAGAACTGTGAATGATTTAGCTATTCTCAGCAAAACAATGATCCAAGACAATCCCAAAGGATTAATGATAAAACACACTATCTGCTATTGATATTCTGTAATTAGTACAAATAAAAAAACTTACATTATGTGCTATGTTAAAATACACGAGATTTTCTATTTATGCATTGTAATTTTATTTGAAACAAACTGTTGTTTTCAGGAGATGGAATTATCTTTAGGTATTATAAGTATACTCACAAGTGTAGCAACATTTTTTTGAATCATATATTCTGTTTTCCTAGAAAGGTAGGGAAAAAAACAGTAGAAAAGGTTTTAGTAGAAATGAGTTTTTATACATTATTATTGATTCATTAAATATTATACCCACAGTGAAATGGGACAAATTAATGGACTCATCTTAGACCTGGATAGGGACATGTTTAGTGAGATAAGATCAAAGCTAAAAAAATGAAACATTAAATGGTAATATAAACTGGAGGCTTCAATTTTTTAATTTAAGGAAGAGAAAGGAAATCCAAAATTTTATTTAAATTAAAAATATTATCAAGCCCATATAGAGAAAAAAAGGGGATAGAGAACAAAAAAATGTAGTTTTGAGTAGTGTTTTCAATTAGTAAATTACATTCTTACTTTTAATTCTTTTGGAAACATCTCAATGTCGACTTTGCTACCTATGAGTTGCCTTCCTCCAATACCACTCTAGGAACCTCAAACCATTATCTTAAATATTTTGTACTATGTTATTGTACTATGTACAATGCATGATTTTGTCATGAAAAACACCTTTAGCAGTGAACCAATTAATTACCCATGTTACAATTCTACTGAAAACCACTCATAATTTTGAAATAGAATTAAATAACAGGGAGTACAGTGAAAGGATAGAAGAGGGAAAACAGTAGATTACATGCAAAATATATTACTTACATATTATACTACATGTAATATACATATATGTATATATACATATCTCTGTTTTAAAAATATATAAATATATATGTGACCAAATAGGATATTGCATATTAAGTGCTTCGTAAATCTTTTAATTTTAGCCCTTTAAGTACATAAGCTTTATAAAAAAATTGTAGTTACATATAATTTTGGAATTCTTTTACTTTCAAGAGATAATTAAAACTTCCAATTGTTTTCATTTTTCAGCTTTAACCTTACTTCACTCATTCATCTACTCCACTGGGTCTAAGGTGAGCAGATTCATTTATTCCATTTTCCCCTCTTTCCTTTTCACTGTCTTACATCACACATCTGCTGCCAACTTGTATAATCCGTGTGTGTGTGTGTGTGTGTGTGTGTGTTAGAGAGAGAGAGAGAGAGAGAGAGAGAGAGAGAATAATTTGTATGGGCATATCAAATTTGATTCACTCCAATTCTAAGTTTTTGGAGGAAATTGATCATTTTTCTTTTTAGTAGAGAAAAACTCTCAAGGAGCTTTTCTCTACCAAATATTTTAAGTTGTAAGGCTTGCTTCAGATACCTAAATACTGAAAATATCTTACAAATTTGAAAAATATATTTAGTTGGCAGAGTTTATAAATTTGAACGTCTACAATTATTTGGTCTTAGACAAAGGCAAATTCTTCTGAGAATTTATAGAAGGTACAAAAAATTTTATCCATGTTAGAGCCAAAATTTTATTAAAGAGAAAGAGACATTTACTTTTTTTTTTTAGATTCATTGCATATTTTCACTTATTTATTCATAGACTGACATACCTCTGAGCACCAATTTTGCTTTGGGCAATCTTGGACCTTTGTGACAAAGCCATTTTGAGTACAGAAATAGGACACACATGGGTTATGGAGATCATCAAATGATGCACCAATCTGGGAAAAAACACCATAAACATGTTATTATTAGATCTTGTATCTTGGTATTACTAAAAATGGAGACATATATTGTTTTCTTTTCACTTTAAGATTCCAGTGAGAACCCTTATACATTAGATAGTACATAAAATCTATTATCACAAAGAAAATGAAAAAAAAATCTATCCAGATACACATTTGAACTTAAAGCGACTTTTCATCAATTTCATTATGAATTGAGACTGTTTAACTTCAATACTTTTGTCAACATGAGTATTGTCCTCACCAGTACCCTTTACAACCCTGTCATAGCAGCAGACCATTTTTGAGTGGTGCTATGGTGGAAGAATTCACCATTTGGCAGACATTCCTGTTTGATAACATTCCTCTTTGAACCTTGTTAGGTTGGTCCACAGAAAACCAACATGTAGTCCATCACCTGGCACACTTGAAGCCTTGGTAGAACTTCTTAGAATTTGCACATCTTCCAAGAACTCAGATTCATCTCTATGCTATGATGCAATATTGGAATAGTATTTTAGTGGAGAATTTGTTAACAAAAATCCAGTAAGTAATCCTAACTCTGTACAGTTGAAGTAAAACAGTTAAATCACAAGAAAATAAGCTGATCATAGAGATTTTGTGAGAGGGACATAATCAAAATAAAGTAACATAGAAGGTATGTCCTAGGATCAGTGCAGGCACAGCCCAAAGCTTCCCATACTTTTTACATCTCTGTCACTATACAATGATGTAATTCATATTCTGCTTGGTGGCCCGGATGAATTGAAAAGTACTTGATCTTCAAACTAGAATTTAATTATAGGCATTATACTTTAATTCAATTTCTATCCAATATTTGTTAAGCACCTACTATGTGCAAGGTTGGAGACAGTTAAGTGGTTGAGTGTATAGAGCGCTAGGCCTGGAGTCAGGGAGACCTGAGCTCAAATCCATCCTCAGACACTTACTAACTGTGTGACCCTGGGCAAGTCACTTACCCTCTGTTTGCCTTAATCTACTGGAGAAGAAAATGGCAAATCACTCTCAGTACCTTTGCCAAGAAGACCACATGGACAGCATTGGTGTGCTATGGTCCAAGGGGCCACAAAGAATTGGGCACCAGGAATTAGACACCATGGGGACACCATGAATTGGATATGAAGAATTTGAAATGACTGAACAACATGTGCAAACTACCATTCCAGGCAATGGGGAATCACAGAGAAAAAAACAACACGTAATTCCTGAATTTGAAGAACTTGCAGTCTACTAGATGGAAATGTGAATTTTTGAAAATTCCTCAACTATTATATACATGTAAGAGTGTGAAGGGGGACAGGAGAGATCAAGACAAAGTATTCTAGGAAACTTGGAAGAGGGAGAAAATGCTTTCATCTAATGGTGTCAAGGAAGGCTTTATAGATATGACAGGAAAAAAAAACTAAAACACTTTAGGTTTTCATTGAAAAGTATTTTTCTGTTAACAGAAATTTCAATGAACCAAAACATTCCATAACCAGAATCTGCTGGTTAACCAAAGTTTTGTCATAGTTCACTTTCTACTTTAGACAGAACCTAAATTGAAAACACACTTGTCTCCTGTCATGTCAGAATTTTTTGTCAACTACAAAGCTCTATATTTCCTGTTGCTAGCAAATAATTTCTCAGAAGTCTTCTCTCTGAGCAAACAAACAGGAAACCAACCTGAGACAGCTGCAATGGATAGAGAGCAAGAGGAAGACCTGGGTTCAAATCTAGGCTCATACATTTGCTAGCTGTGTGACCCTGGGCAAATCACTTAAAATTTGTCTGACTCAGTTTCCAAGATAGTTGTGAGGATTAAATGAGATAATATTTATAAAATGCTTAAAATAGTACCTAGAACATAGTAGGCACTAAAAAATGCTTGTTTCCTGCCAAGTAAGACATTTTAAATTAGTAGAACAAATGATGACTATGATAAGTTTTGTGTATATTCCTGGAGACATACCAATATTTTTGTGTCACTAGATTACTTTATGCTTAGTATTAATGCCAAATGTATCATTTATATAATTTCAAAACCTAGAACTACTGACTAGTTTTTGCTTTGAAAAGTTATGCTTGCCAAAATGTCAATTGTCATTTGCTAAAATCCAGCTTTACATGGACTACATCACTTGGTTGGGCGTATAAACAATCCAGTTTCCATATAAGGAAGGGCAGATCTTGTGTTTCTTTCCCTAATTTCTGAAAGTGTGAATGTCAGATCTTCCAAGTTTTATTTTTTTTATTTTTTTTGTTTGTTTGTTTTAGGCAATTGGGGTTAAGTGACTTGCCCAGGGTCACACAGTTAGTGTCAAGTGTCTAGTCTGAGGGAGGATTTGAACTCAGCTCCTCCTGACTCTAGGGCTGGTGCTCTATCTACTGCGCCACCTAGCTGCCTCATCTTTCCAGTTTTAATTGCAGTTCAAATACTAAAAATTTGAATGCTGCAAATTATGCCTATTCCATCTGGCAATTTTCACATTTTGTTCTGTTAAGAATCCTCATTTTGGCAGATAACGGTGTCAGGCTTGGGGTCATGAAAACTCATATTCCTGAGTTCAAATCTGACCTCAGACAATTACTATCCATGTGACCCTGGGTAAATAACTTAACCCTGTTTGCCTCAGTTACTCATGTGTAAAATTAGCTGGAGAAGGAAATGGCAAACCACTCTAGTATCTTTGCCAAGAAAACTCCACATAAGGTCACAGAGAGTCAAACACAACTAAAATGATTGAACATCAACAATAATCTCTACTTCTGGAGTTTTAGTGGCTATGTGCATTTTCTCCTTTCAAGAGGAACCATATGTAGAGTACTTTTTCGACCTTTCAAAGTGATTTTTTTTGAAAACAAAACTTACTACATTTTGTTATTACTGCAATCACTGACTTTTTAAAATGAAAAACATCTTTGGTGTTTCTAGAGTTATATGGAAAATTACACTGGATCACTTATTTGTCTGTTTATTCAGTTATTTCTGTTTTTACTCAAAATTTCTTTATATGGTTGCTAGGTAGTGCTAGAATGCTGGAATCAGGAAGACCTGAGTTCAAATATGATCTCAGAAACTAGCTGAGTGATCCTGGGCAAGTCACAATCTCTGCCTGGCTCAGTTTCCTCATTTGTAAAGTGGGGATAACAAATATGCCTAGCTTCCAGGTTTCTTCTGAGGCCTAAAGGAGATAATATTTTTAAGTACCTTGTAAATTTTAAAGTGGTATATAAATGCTAGCTAACTATTTTTGGTAACTACAACATTTGGAAATTGACAGACTTTACCTTATACTCCGTGTGGTTGTGAAAACATGTTCTTGGCTCTGAAAGACAATCAAAATATTCAGTACCACAATAATCAGTCCCACAATAAAACATCAAAATATACTTTTTTTTCCCCATGGGAGGATTAAAGTTAAAAGTGAAAAAAAAGTTTTACAATGTTTTGCCAAACATCGTAATGCCAAGGTTTTTGTCATAGTTTACTTTCTACTTTGGACAGAACCTGAATTTAAAACGGTCATGTCAGAATTTTTTGTCAACTACAAAGCTCCATATTTCCTGTTGTTAGCAATCTAATTTCTCAGAACTCTTCTCTCTGAACAAAAAAACAAAAAACCAACCTGAGACAGCTGCCTGCTCATGACAGATGCAATCAGCACTTTTTATTACTGTATACTAACAGAATTCACATTTTTCAATTCAAACCTTACTCATAGATATTATTTTATTTATGGAATGGATATTACTTGGTCCAATCATTCTGCAAAACAATTAGGGTGTGTATTTGGGAAGAGGATGAACAAATTGTGGTATATGAATATAAATGGGATATTGTTATCCCTTAGAAACATTTATGTCAAATGAAGAATTCAGAGAAACTTAGGAAAACATGTATCAAATGATATGGAACAAAGTAATTACTTTGTTATGAACAAAAATACTTCATTAAATATTTTAAGTATTATTCAGCATGTTAATATAATTTGTTGATTATTAAGAACAATTAGTGATGGCCAAAATAATGTAGAGGAAAATATTTTTGAAAGGCATTAGATCTTTGAGCAAGAAACGCAGCAACAAACCCTGTCTCCAGCACACTGTAATGTGTTTCCTTCTTCGTGACAGGCAGTGGACTAAAGGTGTAGAATGAGGCATACATGTTTTCAGACATGGGCAATGCAATGATTTGTTTTTCTGGATTGGACTTAAAAGGTGTATTTTACAAGGCGATAAATGGATGAGGTAGAATCGAATCCTTGGGAAATAACGGTGATGTAAAAAAATTGAAAAGAACACCAACAAAATATGTAAAGAGGAAAAAAGAAAGAAAAATACATACCACAATATGCAGTTTCACAACAAGATTCGTTGGACTTGTATTGTATCAACTTCTCTCCATTTGCACATGTGGGTGGAACGGGACATGTTCTGGGCTTACAGTCTACAGACCTTGAATCACTACAGGTACACTGGTGGCAATTTATAATCCATATGTCACCAGGCTATGAATACAAAGATTGCTTAGAAATCTAATTAAATTCAGGGATGTTAGTACATTTGAAACTATGGACAAACAACAACAATGTAATGAAAACAGGTACTCACAGATTTTTCTTCACCTAATGGACCATGACACACTGGTAATGTGAAATGAGAAACGATTTAAATATACTGTAATATAATCAACTGATATCTCTAAATGTATAATACATTATGTACAGCATGCTAAATATGTATATAATATATTAATAATAATTAAAAATAAAATAATTTTTGTCATAGATAAGAATTTGAAAGTTTTAAAAATCTGTTACACTAACTGTATAATTGATCATCTCTAAATTATTTCTAGCAATTGTAGGCAAGAATTCTTAAATGTCTAAAGAGGAAGATTCCTTGGTTTGCCTTGGATGCCCATGTCAGAGTTTAATATCTCTTGATGACACGAAGCTCTTATTTTATCTAATCAGAAACTAACCAGACAATTATATGTCATAACAACATCATATATCTTTCAGTCTGACTCTAACAATTTACAGATAAGGACACAGAGGCCCAAAGCAGTGAGGTAATTTTGCTAAATGATTTATAATATAATTTAAACGTATTTCCTCTAGTTTCACCTTGAGAAAAGTGGATATGTCTTGTGAAGAAAACTTTCACGTATATGAAGGCTACTTCTTGACATTATTTTGATTAAGAGAAATACAGACATAATTATTTTAACATGAAATGAGGTTTTCCGATAGTTTATCCGACGAATGATCAAGACAAAATCATTTGTTACAATTTCCTTTTATCAGCGAAGGAAAGATGTTATTCAAATATTCCAGTGATGCATAAAATAATTTATCCCCTTGTTTCTGATTTTACTACTAAAGTGTCCAAAGTCCACAATTCATTTGGCATATAATCATTGATATTATTTTTTTGCAAAGAGAATAATTCAGAATAAATGCAGTATCTTTATGTATCATGTGTTTGTGTATGTGCATATATGAAGGTACAAGATACATGGGTAATGGAATGGCGAGAGAGGGATGCAGATTATAATAACCTTACCTGAGACTGGTCCTAGACATCCTATATAAAATGAGGAGACAATATTAGTTTCCAAAACTAATACAGTACACCTCTAGCAGAATACAAATTAAAAGAGTCTGAAAACTGGTCCAATCCCCTCACTTATTTTGCTGATTCATTATTCCATTTCTAAAAACCAATAGCAAATAGGACCAGATTCACAAGTAAGCACACAATCACAGTGCCATCATCTCTGAAATCCTATTTCACCCTACCAAAATCTCTCATCCCGATGAGTCATAGTTTCAAGACTTCCATTATAAGATATTCTCTCTTTCTAGCATGCACAATGCTTTTAGTCTTCAAGAGAGTAGAGTCCCGTACCTTTACATGATGTCGACTTGTTCGTCATTAGTTAAGAATTTCACATTTAGAATACCAATAATCAAATGACACTTTCAAGGACTGACACCAAGGTCCCAGAAGATGTCTGCAATCCCACTCACCTTGTGTGGTGCCACTGGAAGGGCTGCTCCCAGCTGCTGATCTTCCGTTAGAGGTGGTTTCAGCTCTGTTTGTGCCACTGACAACTGTACTCACGATTCCTTCTGGCAAAGAGAAGAAATGGAGAATCAGGTGAGTGGCCAATGGGCAAGGAATGGGCACCTGCAGGGGAGAAATCTTTGAGGAAGTAGGTATCAAGCTCAGATAGGACATTGCTTTCCAGATGCTCAGCTTCTCCTCAGGCCTGTCTTTCTAGCCTATGGCCCCACCTAGTCCCTAACAAAGGGAATTGCTGGTGAACACAGGAGGTGGGTGGCTGAGTCCATCCATCCAGGAGGATTTGGGTTTGCCATTCTGGAACTGTCATTTGTCCCTGAAGAGGTGCCACTCGTGCCAGCAAGAACCCAGAGCCAAGTCAGATGTGAAGGCTGATCGGGGATGGCCCTCAGGGCTGTAATTTGTCCTTCTTTCTCCACGGGGACCATGACTTCAGGCAGGTGAAGCCATGCCATGCAAAGGAATTGGATAGCAGGGAGCAGGGATGTGCAAAGTCAAGAACCCCACTTCCTCCTGGGGACCCAACGGAGTCCGGGCTGCAGATACAGATCACAAGGCCTGGAGATGGCCCTGGATGCCCCGGGACACCTTGGCCTCTCTGAGGAATGATCTGGATCAGGTCTCTGCCTGTAGGGCAAACCCTGAACAGAGAGGGTGGCTTGCATGCCTCCATGCCTGACGTCCCCTGGGTGTGAATTGCTGTGTGCATGTCTGTGTGTGTGTGTGTGTGTGTGTGTGTGTGTGTGTGGCCTTGCGCATGGGCGGGCATGTGTTTGTCTGTGGCTTTTTTCCAGGGTGTTGCCTGTCAGAAAGTGAAATAGGCCAACGGGAGAGGTTGGTTGGGCGGACACGAAGAGGGGACGTGGAAAATGTCACTGAGAATCGAGTCAACTACAGAGAAAAGGAAGAGTGAAAAATCCAACGTGGACAAGGAAGAATGGAGCGCTGGGCAAAAGCGGCTCAGTTAGGTGGTGAAATAGTTTTGGTCATGTCAGGAGAAGGCTGCTGCTGTCAGCAGTCTCCAACCCCTGAGAAAACCTTCCTAGGAAGGCTGCCAACTTCTAGTGGACCCCACATGAAGACAAGAGGGAAAGCGCGTTATGCTCAGTGGCCTGCAAGGAGATGAAGGCCAAATGAGAAAAGTCCTTGGAAGGTAAAGGAAGGAGAGGCACTGGCTGCTAGAGGCCTGGCCACTGAGTGTCCCTGGCAAGTGCCAAGTGGTAACCTTGCTCTCACCTTCACTACTTCTCTAGTGCTCCTTGGCAGGTAGCCCCCGTGGGGAGCCAGGAAAGCCAAGGGTGCCCAAAGTCTCGTGCCATGCCGAGAGAGAGGCTCGCTTTTGACTTTGCTGCGTCGGAAGAACTGGCCCATCCAAAGGGGATAGAAGGGCAAGAAGATCCCTGAGATAGCCCTCACCTTGAGTGACTGCACTGGAGCTGAGGCTGCCGGGTGCTGCTCTTCCAGTTGGCGTGGTTTCAGCTCTGTTTGTCCCAATGCCTCCTGGGGACGTGACCGCTTCTAGGTGGAGAAGAAAGGACAAAGGCTGGCTGTCCCAGATGGGAATGCAAAAGAAACCGTGGATGAAGTAGCTCCGTGGTGTCAAGGGGTGTGCCTAGCATCGCTGTTGATTTGGTCTGGGCTCTGTGTATAGAGCTGTCTCCATGGCGATAGCTGCCTATCACAATAGGGGCCCCACTGATTGTCCAACTGGCTTCAGAAAGGTGACCAGACATGAGCAGGCTTGATGAGCAAAGGCATCCTGCATGCATTCCCTTGCCCTGGATTTCCACAATGCTCTTCTCTACCTGCCGCTAGTCCCTCAACCAAATGGATGCTGGTCCAATGACATGGCTCTTCCTCGCGTTGCCCGCAGGCGGCATGG